ACCAGTACATCCACCAGCTCGCTCCTCACTCCACCACCATACATCACTCTTCACTCCCGCGAGGACTACTCCTACCTCTCTCCCGCGCACCAAACCCACGACCCCCACCACCACCTGCTCCCCCAGCCCCGCAACCACGACAACACCCACCTCAGCCCCACCCACCAAAAGACCGGCCTCCTCCACATCGCCGCCCAGAAAGGCCACGAGCGCATCGTGCGCATGCTCCTGCACCATCACCAGCCGCGCCTCGACGCCAACGCGCCGGACAGCGAGGGCCGCACGCCGCTCATGCACGCCGTCGTCGCGGGCCACGCGGCGGTCGTGCGCGCGCTGCTGGCCGCCGGCGCGCGCTGCGACCCCGTCGATCACCGGCGGCGGTCGGTGCTGCATCTCGCCGCGCTGTATCGGCGGGAGCTGGTGTTGCGGGTGTTGCTGGGGGAGATTTGTGGGATTGGGATTGGGGTTAAGCCGGAGGAGGAGGAGGATTACGACGACGACGACGCCGACAACGATGGTGGTGGTGGGGAGGGCGATGTCCGAAGAGTCCGGGGACCGGGGATGGAGTCCCTGCTGGGGGCGTGTGATGCTGAGGGGAATACCCCGTTGCATCTGGCGGTCGCGGATGGGTTTGAGGCGGGGGTGATTATGCTTTTGGAGGCGCAGGCGCGACGGTGATTTTGAGGGGATTGGAGTTTTATGCGGAGATGAACTTTCTAGACAGGTTGCGGTTGCTAGATTGCGAGTGAGGAGTGAGGGTACTGTAGATCTCCTATGGTGGCGGGGGTGTAGTATGTATTGCGTGAGGGATAACCCCGCTAATTAGTACTGCTCGGCTTGTCATCGATTGATTGAGGTTATGATATTATGATATTATTATGATATGGTTTTTCAAGTGTGGCTTTCCTACTCCTACTCCTACTCCTACTCCTACTACTACTACTACTACTACTACTACTCCTACTCCTACTCCTACTCCCACTACTACTACTACTACTACTCCTACTCCCACTACTACTACTACTACTACTACTACTACTACTACTACTACTACTACTACTACTACTACTACTACTATCACTACTACTACTACTACTACTACTACTACTACTACTACTACTACTACTACTACTACTACTACTACTACTACTACTACTACTACTACTACTATCACTACTACTACTACTACTACTACTAAGTACTCTGTACATAATCCTGATTTACACCTATCCAATCAAAATGATCAGTTATAGTCTATATATTATCGATCAGAAATAGTCTGCACACGATTACCATAGTAGAGAGTTGTATCAGAAAATCCATGGCTATCCATAATGCATGTTAGACGGGCCCACCATTCAATCAACATACCCGAGCTGGCAAAACACAGCCCTACAAAAGAGGTCCCTACGGGTCTATATTTCATTGAACCAACCACCTGTGATAATCCGTTTGACCGTACAGTAGTCAATAAAGAACCATCTGACGGGAACCTTGCCATCCTCTAAGTCAGAACCAACATCTCTTACTGGCTTGCTTGCTACTGCACAGTCGATGAATCGATCCCCTCTCTCTCTCTACTGTGAGAGTAAAGATAGGGGGCGACGAAAGCACCACCACTACCACCACCAAAACGCATACAGCTATAGATGATTAAGTTGCCGGTAGGTTAGGTGCTGTTCTTAAACAAGTAATTCTATCGGTACTCAGCAAGTGGAGTCAATAATCTCTATATCGCTACACTCATTGTGCCGCCCGGGGAGGAAATGCTGTGGTTGGAGCAGGGAACTAAGCGGAATGATCTTATGGTCCGATACCATGATATCCTAAAGTACTACTAAGTAGTATATCCAGACCACACCCGGCCGATCCAGAATCGCAAGCTATAGATACCAGTTACTATACGTCCGACTAAACATACAATCCGCCACCTCCACCTCACAAATGCGCCGCCCGACACAATCGCCCCGCGCCATCCGCCTGCCACGCCTCGCTCCCGACCGCGGACACCGCATACAACAAGTCCCAGGGATCGTACTGCTTCTTGATCGCGAGCAACCGCGGATAGTTCTTCCCGTAGAACTGCTGCTGCCAGTTCTGTTGTTGGTAGTTGGCCTCGTTGAGATACGCGCCGGAGTCCGGGGTGACGGCCTCGAGCGCGGGGAGCACGCGGTCGAGCAGCTCGGCCTGCCAGCCGGCGACGGGGGCCCAGGAGTCGCCCCAGCTCCAGGCGGCGCCGACCAGGCAGGAGTACGCGGTGTCGCGCCAGGCGGGGAGGACGGCGTTGTCGGCGACGGGCCCGACGGCCTGCGCGGCGGCGGTGGTGGTGTTGATGCCGGTGCAGGAGAAGTAGAAGGTGCCGCCGCGGGTGATGGTGCGCATGGCCTGGACGACGCCGGCGACGTTGGCGTCGATGTTGGCGCGGGTGATCAGCCGGCCGCCCATGACGGGGACGAGGGCAGCCCCCGCCAGCGTCGGCCACAGGTCGGCGGCGAGCAGGTCGTAGAGACTGGCGGCGCCCGAGGTCTGGAGCGCCAGGGCCTGCGGGGTGAGGCCGTCGTGCTGGGCCAGGGCCGTCAGCATCGGCGCCAGGAGCCGCGTCAACTCGGCCTCGGTGTGGCTCGGCGCCACCAGCGCGTAGATGCTGAAGCTGTCGTTCGTGACCGCGTAGGTCGTATACACCCCCTGGTCCAGGAGCCCGGGCATCTGCGCGTGGAAGGTGGTGACGGCCTGCCAGTAGGCGTCCTCACTGCTGCCGCTGCCGTTGCCCGTGGAGGCGACGGTGAACGAGTACGAGGCGGCCCCGACGGGCTGCTCCGGGAACACGCGCGTGGTCATCGAGACGACGACCCCGTACGTGCCCGGTCCGCCCCCGCTGAGCGCCCAGTACAGGTCGCGGTGGTCGTTGGCCGGCGTCGCCACCAGGTGCTCCCCCGTCGCCGTGATCACCTCCCACTCCAGCACATTGTCCGCGCTCAGCCCGTACAGCCCGGACATGGACGAGTGCCCGCCCCCCTGCGTGTAGCCTCCCACCACCCCCACCGTCGGACACGAGCCCACCACCACGCGGTAGCCGTGCTGATGCGCGAACGTCGCCGCCTCCTCCCCCTGCACCCCGGCGCCCAGCTGCACCGCCGGCCCGTTGTAGTAGCTGCTGCGGTACGCGGGCAGGAACCGCTTGTCCTTGAGGTTGTGCGTCCACAGCGAGAGTGCGCCCTTGCCCGTCCCTTTGCCGTTCTCACTATACGGAGGTATGCACGGTCAGCACGCCCACGCACATGCACACGCACACACGTCCCAGACCATTCTAAAGGGGAGGGAGAAGACGCACTCATGGCCCGTGTTCTTGATAGTGAGCCGCACGTTATTCGACTGCGCGAAGCTCAATCCAGCCACGATATCGCGGGGACCCGTCACATTGATCGAGTAACTGGCATAATTGCCCAGCTCACAGGGGGTGGACTGGTCGGTGAATGGCACACAGGACTGGTTCTGGAACCATGGCGAGAGGAATTCAGCCGGATACGGAATTCTGCGGGCGGTTGACTGGTCAGATGGAGATCATGCAGAGAACCGGGACGAGAGGAAAGAGGGGCAAGGGAAATACTGCAGGCTGGGTTCCCCCCATTGCCTCTCGAGGGTTGTGCAGGTGGCATTGTCATAGGTGGGATCATGGCATGAGTGGGCTAGAGGGTTGGTGGCCAGAAGGCGACCTCCAACCGTGGCGTTCAGCCGAGTCCAGGTCGAGGCGGCGGGCCAACCACGATCCCCGGGGATGTAGCGACATGCAGATGCAGCGGGTTGCTGGGATGGTGAGGATGTTGCTGTTCCGGTTGCCGCTGCCGCTGCAAGAGCGGTTGGGGTGATAACTGGAAGGAAAAGGGTGAAGATCTTCATGACGATAACGGCAATCCGTGCGGAGTGACCGATGCACGAGTGATGTGGTAGTCCTCGTTGTGGTCGACAATATCTGAACCAATAGGTAAGGTAGGTTTATGTTATATATACTTACTTGGCTCGGACGAGCGCCCCCATTCCCCATTATCTTCAGCTATCTTCAGCTACGGTGCCTGGTCTCAGCTGAATCCGAATCCAAATCCTCTGGAAAGTTTCCTCTGCACGCAACCAGGCCAACAGCAAGTAACGAGGACGCAACATCCTCCCATGATTCATGGTCTGATCGGATGGTGAGGGCACAATGCACAATTCCGTTAGACGAGGCCAGCCTTGCAGTGCCCCCACCCGGAATCTGACCAGACCAGATGTCAGACTCGTGGCCTTTGAAAAAAAGAAAAGAAAAATGGGTCGTATATGACGCCCAGATTAATCTGTCGTGATTACATGCAGAGAAAGCATGCATTAGCGTGGAAATCCTGTGCTGCTTATCCTCGCGCACAGACGCCGTAGGCAATCACAACCGAAAGAACTGACAACTACAAGCGCATTGTTTGAGCATGTCTCAGAGCACTAACTATAATTTGTGAGGTGATCATAATATCCGGTACCTCCGGTACAAGCAACACTCATCCGCCTACCCTAAAATCTCACGCAGGAACGCAACCTGCGCATCCAGCGTCTGGGCAAAAGAATCACCACTCAACACATCCATGTGACCCTTGCCCGGCACGAGCAGGTGGCGTTTGGGCTCCTTCAGACGGTCGTAGATTAGCGTGCGCTGGAGGTCCGCCGGCGAGACCACGTCACGCTCCGGGGTGACGACCAGCGCCGGGGTGGGCGAGACGTAGGGCATCAGCCCCATGGGCTGGAAGGCGGCAATATGGTAGTAACTGGCCAGCGTGGTCTCGAGCTCGAAGGTGGGCTGCAGCAGCTTCGCCCCAGCCATCATCTTGAAGCCATCGACATCGAACCCTTTGCCAAAGCCCGCCGGGTTCTCCCCCTCCGCGGTCAGCATGGGGATGTAGACGGGCGGGTTGCCGGCCGCGCGCGACTCGCGGTCCTGCAGCGCCTTGGCTAGCACGCGCGGCCACTTCTCCGGCGGGCTCTCCCAGATCGTCAGCGGGCACATGGCCACGACGGCTTTGGCCCGCTTGTCCAGCGCCGCGGCCACCAGCGCCAGCATCCCGCTGTAGGAGAACCCCCAGTAGGCGATGCGCTTCGGGTCCACCAGCGGGTGGCCCTTCAGGTAGGTGAGCGCATCGTGGTAGTCCTCGACGTTGCGAGACGGATGGATCTCGTTGCGCGGAGTGCCGTCGCTGACCCCGATGCTGCGGGGGTCGTAGATGAGCACCGTGAAATCCTGTCGCTGGAAATACTCGGCGATCTCGGCCACCATGGTCTCCTTGGTGAAGTTGAACTGCGCAGAGAGGAGAGTTAGGGCTATTGGCATGGGCCACAAATGGCTGGAGAGAACCTACCCCAGGCGTAGCAATGATGGCGGCTCCCCGTTTCGTCGCAGGATACAGCCATCCCCGGATGGTGAGCCCGTCAAGAGTCTTAAACTCGACATCCTCGCGCCCGGCCATGATGGGAGAGAAAGATGTTGGCTTGCGGAGAAAGGATGTGTTGATGGAGTTTTCTGGTGGTCGTTGATCTCTCCACTAAGACAAAGTCTGCTCTCGCCTGAATGCAAGTCTTGTAGGCAGGCAGTCTTGGACGCAGAAGCACATGGACTTAACAACATGCGTAGTCTGGATCATCTCTCACTGGGACGCTTATCTACCGATCGACAAGCATTCTGGCAACGATCCTGAACACGCAAGTCCAATTCAAGCGTCAATCTGCTTCTCTGGTACCGTTCAGACTCACCCTCCTCAATGTCTCCGACATGCTTTGGCATGCTTATCCTTCCGTCAGCGCGTAGTTAATCAGCACGGTCAGCAATAACCCTGCACTCGTCTGCTTACAATGCAGACAAATAATCATGCATGGATAATATCGCCCCAATGCTATCATCACCGGAGGGCCGTCTCATTGGTGCAATACCGACCACCATAGGTTCCAAGCCTCAAATGTCGGTTTTCAACAATGACAGGTTCTTGTATAGCCTCGAGGAGCGCTATATGAACGATTGCAAACCAGCAAGGGCAGTGGAATCGAGAAGCCTGTGCTGCTTAGTGTGATCTCGAGCTGCTACTCCCTCTCAAGACAACATCTCAGCTCCACTCCAATTTTTTCTTTCTTCTTAAGTCATCACTATGAGTATCTCACCAGATACCGTGCCAACGCCCGCCTGCTCCAGCGACGATGGCAACTCGTTTGCGCTTGTGAACGACGGCGTCGTCCAGCGCCACCAAACGCAGACGCCCGTCGCCGTGGTGGGGATGGCCTGTCGGCTGCCCGGCCACAGCAACTCGCCCACCTTGCTCTGGGACTTCTTGCAACGCGGAGGAGTCGCCAAGAATGAGCCCCCGGCCACGCGGTTCAGTCTGCCCGGCCATCACGATGAGCACCGCCGGCCGCGCACCATGAAAAGCCCCGGAGGCATGTTCATGGAGGATGTCGACCCAGAGGTGTTCGACGGGCAGTTTTTCAACATCAGCCGCGTGGACTGCATTGCCATGGACCCGCAGCAACGGATCCTTCTGGAGGTCGCGTATGAGTGCTTGGAGAACGCAGGGATCCCGCTCGAGGCGATCAGCGGGAAACAGGTCGGGTGTTTGGTCGGCACCAATATCGTCGGTATGTGATTAATCATACTGTTGAACTTGAAAATGGTGCGAACATACGAAATCTTTCTAACAAATTCTCTAGACTATGCGTCCATGCAGAGTCGGGATCCGGAGAACCGTCCGGAATCGGCGACGATAGGTGTGGCATGGTCCATTCTGAGCAACCGTATCAGTCACTTCCTCAACATCCATGGGCCCAGTATGACAGTGGACTCGGCCTGCTCGGCCAGTCTGGTGGGTGTGGAGGTGGCCTGCCGGTACTTGGACACCCATCAGGCTGACGGCATGCTCGTGGCAGGGGCCAGTCTGTGGCTGACGCCCGAGCACAACGAAGAGATCGGGATGATGCGCATGACGCAGTCGGCCACCGGCAAGTGCCACAGCTTCGACGCGAAGGCCGACGGTTACGCCAAGGCCGAAGGGATGAACGTCGTCTACCTGAAACGGCTGGACGACGCCCTGCGCGACGGGGACCCGATCCGCGCCGTCATTCGCGGCACGGCCACCAACAGCGATGGCCGCACCCCAGGGATTGCCAGTCCCAGCGCGGAAGCCCAGTCGGCCGCCATTCGCGCAGCCTATGCCAATGCGGGCATCAAGAACTTCAACGATACGCAGTACCTGGAATGCCACGGCACGGGCACGCCCGCCGGCGATCCCATCGAAGTCAAGGGAGCGGCCGCCGTCTTCGCCGCCTCGCGAGAGCTCGGCCAGGACCTGGTGATCGGCTCGATCAAGAGCAACATCGGCCACTCCGAGGCCGCAGCTGGGCTGTCGGGCTTAATGAAGGTCGTGCTCGCTCTGGAGCACGGCGTGATCCCCGGAAACCCGACCTTCATCACTCCCAACCCCAACATCGACTTTGCGGGTTCCCGCGTTCGGGCCACGCGCATGTCCATCAAGTGGCCAGAGACGGCGCTGGATGTGCGCCGTGCCAGTGTGAACTCCTTCGGGTTCGGCGGATCCAACGCACATGCCATCCTCGAGAACGCCCCCTTCGCATCCAGTCATGTCTCGTCTTACAAGGCAATTACGACGGACTTCTTTGGCGATGAAGAGGATGAAGAGGACGTGGCTGGTGCTGAAGACGCCCGGCCGCCCAAGGTGCTTGTTCTGTCGGCCAACGACCAGGGGTCGCTGAAGAACTACCTCAACGCCCTCGCGGGACACTTGATCAACCCCAGTGTCTCGATTGATGTCGATGACCTGGCGTACACCCTCTCCGAGCGTCGCAGCCATCTTTACTACCGTGCCTTCGCCGTAAGCTCAACCAGCGGCATCGACCACGGAAAAGTGCATTTCGGTCAGAAGGCGGCGTCAGCACCGCGCATTGGGTTCGTGTTCACTGGCCAGGGCGCTCAGTGGTCCCAGATGGGAGCAAGTCTCGTGAAGGCGTTCCCGCAAGCAAGAGAGGTGATTGAGGAGTTGGACCAGGTCCTTCAGAAGCTCCCGGACGCTCCGAAATGGTCGCTTCTTGCCGAGCTGACAGAGGAGCGGACCTCCGAGGCTCTCCGCCAGCCAGAATTTTCACAGCCCCTGGTGACTGCCTTGCAGCTGGCGGTTTTGGAAGTCATAAAGGAGTGGGGGATCCACCCGGAAGCTGTGGTCGGACACTCGTCGGGCGAAATTGCGGCGGCCGCCGCAGCCGGTCTGATCACCCCGGACGAGGCCATCAAGATCGCCTACTATCGTGGCCAGGCAGCCAAGCGGTTCCCCCCGGAGGAGCCGCTGGGTATGTTGGCGGTGGGTGTTGATGTCGAGACGGTGGAGAGATATCTCGGCCCGGAGAGCAATGTCCAGATTGCATGCTACAACAGCCCGAGCAGTCTCACCATGTCCGGCACGGCTGCGGCGCTGCAATCGCTGGAGGCGCGCCTGAAGCAAGACGGCCACTTCGCCAGACTGCTGCTCGTGGACGTCGCCTATCATTCCAGCTATATGGCACCAATCGGCGAGTTGTATGAGAAGATGCTCCTCTCCAATGCTTCGAACGTGTCTCCGGGAAAACCGACAGCCAGGATGTACAGCTCCGTCACCGGTCAGGTCCTAACACAAGCGCCAGATGCATTGTACTGGAAAAGGAACATGGTCTCTCCCGTTCGCTTCACACAGGCTGCCACGAAGCTTCTCCAAGATCCACAGGGAGCCGACTTCCTGATTGAGATTGGCCCCAGCAATGCCTTGTCAGGTCCCATTGCTCAAATCAAGAAGGCCCTGTCTGGTGCTGCTGCAAATGCGCTGTACACCTCAGCCTTGAAGCGGGGACCCATCTCGATCCAGTCCCTGTACAACGTAGCCGGCCAGCTCTTCCTGATCGGCGGATCAGTGGACTTCCGCAAGGTCAATCGCACGCACGAGTCCAAAAAGCCCTCGGTCATCATTGACCTGCCCAACTACGCTTGGAACCACTCCCAGCGATACTGGCATGAGACCCAGGCGAGTCGGGACTGGCGGTTCAAGAAGTTCATCAACCACGACCTGCTGGGATCGAAGATGAACGGCACTGCCTGGCAAGCCCCCATCTTCCAGAAGACCCTGCGGCTGGGCGACCTGCCCTGGCTGCGAGACCATATGATGGGCAACCAGATCATCTTCCCGGGCGCCGGGTACTGCGCCATGGCGGTCGAAGCCATGTACCAGGTGGCCATGGTCACCAAGTGGGAGGAGAAGGAGCCCGCGCGATGCCAGTTCCGCTTCCGCGACATTCGCTTCCTGCGGGCCCTGGTACTCGAGGAGGAGACGGCGGCCACCTACACCCTGGCCTTGAGCCCGGCGCGTGGCGGGTCCATCCGGGACTGGTACGAGTTTCGGGTCTGCTCCACTAAGGAGGGCGTTTACACCGAGCATTGCGCAGGGTTGATCGCTGTCGAAACCGATTACACGGAGAAGACGGCCCCAGCGAGCTCCCTGGAGCCCTTGCAGCTCGCGACGCCGGCGAGCATGATCTACAAGGCCGTGCGCGAGTCCGGATACAACTACGGGCCCTGCTTCCAGAAGCATCTGCTCTTCGAGGCCACCATGGGCAAGACCGAGAGTCGGTCGACCGTGGCCATGGACCCGCCCCCGTCGACGTACGGACAGTCGTTCTATCCCATCCACCCGGCCAGCATTGACGCGTGTTTCTACATCGGCATCCTGGCCATCTCCAAGGGCGACATTCCGCTCGTCGGCGCCGTCCATGTGCCGCAGATCCTCAGCAGCCTCGTGATCCCCATGCGACGCGAGCAGCCCGCCGAAGCCATTGCGCTGGCCTCGGCGCGCTTCCTGGGCATCGGCCGGGAGGACCTGCACCGCAATTATGGCTCGGACCTGTCGCTGTATGACCCGCGGGACGGGTCGCTCATCTTCGAGATGAAGGGCCTGACGACGCGCGACATCGAGACCAGCGAGGAGGAGGGTGCCAAGCATCTCTTCACCCACCTGGCCTGGGAGGCGGACCTGCACTTGTTGCTGTCTACGCCGGAGCCCAAACTCCGGCACTTCTTGCGCGAGACGGGCAAGTCTGTGCAGGATCTCATCAACCTCGTGGTCCACAAGAACCCCACACTCAGGGTGTTGGAGGTGAACCTAAGTCCCAAGGATACCTCGAGTCTGTGGGTCCAGGAGGAGTCACACCCCATCCGAGCCGCGTGTGTCCAGTACCGTTTCGCTGTGAGTGACCCGACCACGCTAGTCACTGCCCAGGGACTGCATTCGCCTCATGCCCCGTCCGCTCAGTTCAGCCTGCTGGATGCCACCAAGACCGATGCATTCGCAGCAGACACCAAGTTCGACCTTGTGATCGTTAAGGCTTCGGGGCCCGTTGAGGCTACGGTCCGGGACAGACTTCTGAAGAGTGTGTCCCAGTCGGTGAAATATGGCAGTGTTTTCCTCGGTGTAGGCCACGGCGTTGAACTGGGCGCGATAGGAAACCCTCAGGCTCTCGATGACGATGTGTCCATCGTCCAGGTCAAGACGGAGGAGCTGTGGGATGTGGCACTTCCGACCGTCAGCTATATCAGCCTCACTGGCATTGTTCATGAAGCATCCAGCAAGATTCTGGGCCACATTGTACAGAGCGGATGGAATATCCAGAAGGTCGCCGATCTTTCGACCCTCGGTGAGGGTCAGGTGGTTCTGATCCTGGACGAGCTCGTGTCACCTATCATGTTTCACCCCGAGGCAAAGCACTGGGATACGCTCAAGCAGATCATCCTCCAAAAACAGAGCAAGATTCTCTGGGTGACAGCCGGTGCCCACCTCAACGTCACCAACCCCAATACTGCCGCAGTCAACGGATTCTTCCGCACCGTACGCGCCGAAGAGGGGGTCCGGCTCGTTAATTTGGATGTCGAGCACCCTGCAGGCGATGCGACGGGCTCCGCCATAGTCTCGTGTCTAGACGTCCTTCGCCAGCCGGAGGTTGCCGGCAGCCCGCTCGACAGCGAGTTCGTCGAGCGCGGCGGTGTCTTACAAGTCAGTCGTTTACTTCCCAACTGGGAGATCACCAAGCTCCAGGGTCACCACCCTAGCGACCGCAAGACGGAGGTGCTGGACATCCATGCTCATGACACTCTGATTCACATGGGCGCGGAGCGACTGGGCGATCTCGACTCCATCCACTACCACGAGGTGACGGCGGAGCCCGTCGAGCTGGAAGATGGATATATAGAGGTGGAAGTGTACGCCGCGGGTCTCAACTACAAGGACGTGGTCGTCACCATGGGCATTGTGCCGGGCGATGAGCGCGAGCTCGGTGGAGAGGCAGCAGGCATTGTCACCAAGGTGTCTCCAAGCGTCACCTCGTTGGAAGTCGGGCAGCGCGTGGTGGTCTTCACCCCGGCCACCATTGCCAATCGCGTGCACACCCGGCCAGGACGCGTACATGTCCTCCCCGACTGGATGTCTTTTGAGGAAGCCGCCACTCTCTGTGGTGTGTACTTGACCTCCATCTACTCCTTGTTCGACATGGCTCAGGTAAGTCCCCAAAAGACGGTGCTCATCCACTCCGCGGCAGGTGGTGTGGGTATCGCCTCGATGCAGCTGGCCCAGTACGCCGGGGCAGAAGTGTTTGCCACCGTCGGATCCCCGGATAAGCGCGAATTTATCAAGTCGACCTTCGGTCTGAGCGACGATCATATCTTCAACTCCCGCAACACGGACTTTGGCGACCAGATCTTAACCGCCACCGGGGGCCGCGGGGTGGATATTATCCTGAACTCCCTTACCGGAGATATGTTGGACGAGTCGTTCCGCATCCTGGCCGATGGTGGAATCATGGTGGAGATTGGCAAGAAGGATATTCTGGACCGCAACAGCCTTGCCATGGAAGCGTTTGACCGCAACATCTCCCTCCGCGCCGTGGACATGTCCCACCAGCGGGCCCCAGACGGTCTGATCGCGAGGCTCATGGCCAGGCTGTTTGAGCTGCTCGAAGGGCGCCATGTGAAGCCCATCAACCCGATTCACATCTTCTCCTTCACTGATGTGGCCAATGCGGTGCGGTATCTGCGCGCGGGTAAGCATATTGGCAAGGTGGTGATCTCGGACGGGCTGGGCCCCAAGATTTCAGTTCCGGTAAGTTCACGCCCTGCTCAGGACCATCTAGACGTCATTAAAAAGGTATTAACCACTGCCCACCACAGGTCCGACGTGCCCCGAAGGTCCTCCACTTCCGTGACAATGCCACCTATCTGATTGTGGGTGGCCTCCGCGGTCTGTGCGGAGCCCTGGCTATCTACCTGGCCAAGAGCGGCGCCAAGCATCTGGCCGTCATCTCTCGTAGCGGGCACAGCGATGAGAAGTCAAGGTCTATCGTCAAGCAGATCCGGGCGCTAGGGTCCAGCATTGATCTCCTCACGGCCGACGTGACCCGCCCCGGCGATGTCCAGAGAGCATTCAACCAGACCACCTTCCCCATCGGAGGTATCATCCAGGGCGCGATGGTTTTGCGGGTATGTTGTATTCTTCCACATCCCCCTCTCGGAAAACAAGAGCAATCAAGAAAACGCTAATGCACATTCTCCAGGACCGCCCCTTTGACTCCATGACCCTAGAGGAATACCACCAGGCCGTGGCCTGCAAGATCCAAGGCACGTGGAACCTGCACACGGCGGCGGAGCGCCTGCATCTCTCGCTCGACTTCTTCACGATGCTGTCCAGCATCTCGGGCGTGATCGGCCAGCGCGGACAGGCCAACTACGCCGCGGCCAACGTCTTCCTGGACTCATTCGCCGCCTACCGCCGGCAGCGCGGACAGGCCGCCTGCTCGATCGACCTGGGGGTCATCGAGGATGACGGCTTCATCGCCAACAACGCGGGCTTCCAGGAGAAGCACTTCGACAGCCGCACCTTCAAGGGCATCAACAACGGGCTGCTGCGTCAGATCCTCTACTTCTCCCTGCTCCAGCAGGCCGGGCGCTTTGCCCACGACTCCACATCCGCCGCCGCCGCCGCCGCCACACAGATGGTGACGGGCATCGTCGCCCCGCAGCCCGCCGACTCGGCGCTCCTGCAGGACGCGCGGTTCTCGGCGCTGCGCGCAGGCGCCGGGGCCGGCAAGACCCCCGGTGAGAGCGGTGGGGGTAGCAACAGCGCCAACGCTGAGGTCCAGGCCCTACTGCTTTTGCTGCGCTCCTCGTCTGCCGATACCGCCGCCCAGGTCGCGGCCACGGTGGAAGTCGTCAACAAGTGCTTCGTGCGCATGCTGCGCCTGTCGGAGCCGATGGACCCGGCGCGTCCGTTGGCCGTCTACGGGATCGATTCTCTGGCCGCCGTTGAGGTCCGTAACTGGGTCCGCAATGAGCTGGGGGCTCTGGTGACGACGGTCGATATCATGAACGCTGCCTCTCTCCGGGCGTTCTGTGAGAAGATCGTTTCCAAGATCGTGGTGGGCTGAAGGGGTGCTTGAATGGTAGTATTTTTTTTGGTCTCCGTAAGATATGGTATAGCATTGATTTTGATCTCAAATGAAGTATAAGCTTGTAAAGTGCAAATTTCTGGGGCCATGCAAGGCACCTTAAGTGACCAAAGAAGCTCACTATGCTCACCGGTTTGATTCGAGCGCGTAGATTCGGGTGATTTGAACGCCGGATTTGCAAATTCGATTCGTCCAAGTCTTCTACTATTGATGGTTCACCCTTGTAAGATGATGGTGTTAGGGTTCTATCTCAAAATGCTAAGGACGTGGATGATGGTGGATGATGGTGGATGATGGGGGAAGAGGAACTAGCTAAGGCCACCGCGGTGGGCGGTGAGCAACAAAAGGACTTGAGTTATCGAGACTCCCAGGACAGCTTCACTTCAGAAGCTATTGCATGTCTTTATTTTACTTGATACTCCGTGCTGAAGTCGGTAGCCTACCCAAGTGAGAGAGAGAAGACGAAGCACAGTATTCCACCATGTTGACGATGGCTGACATGGTTCTTGTTTCGAATGATACACATAGTATCAACGTAGAGTCAAGTCTGCTCGACTCAGATGAGATCTTGCGACAACTGCCATCGTACCACTGACTTCAAACCATACTGTTATTCATCAAAGCATGGCAAAAGCAGGATCAAGCAGCCTTAATCATCCAGTTGATTCTCCTTCTTCTTCCTAGCCTCCATCTCCGCGATTTCCCGTTCATCAAGAATGCAAATGACATCCAGGACATTGGCCGCAACGAGACGACCTTCTTGAATATCACGGATGGAATAATCCAGGAATAGCTGCTCCGGTAGCCGGTCTTCTGAGGCTTTTGAATCCATCACTTTATCGATCACGTTAGCGAGGCTTCAGGGATTAGAAGAAGGCGTGTGTAGGTTGCTGCTGTCACCTCTGTAGACCTGGTATAAGATATGCGACAGGATGGAAAACAAGGAGCTGAACGCTGCGAGTGAGAGGAGGGAAGTCGTGGAAGAGTCCGCCGTGAGGGTTGGGTTAAAGCTTAAGTGACCGGTCTTATGTTTCGTTATCTTGTATTTGTATTATGTGACTTAAGCCACATTGTGCTACTATACAAGGTTATACTTGGTTTGTACTACAGTACGTAGTAATTAATAGGCAGCACTGAGTTCAACCTAGAGCGGAACCCCCCCCTTCTAAGAATTGAAAGAAAGTTATTCAATTATTGGAGGAATCTAGTTCAGCAGTCACGTCATTATCAACAGGTACTAAGTAACAACATTCAAAGGATTCCCTCTGCACCACTCTTCCACCGACAGCTTCAGCCGCTGCGAGTAATTCGCCATGGTCCTCTGAGCCAACCACGCCAGATGCGGCGTCACAATCAGGTTCAGCCCCTCGGTTCCCTCGGCCAGCAAAGGCGAGTTGTCCGGACCGGCAGGCTCCTGGAAGAAGACATCGGTCGCTGCGCCGGAGATGCGATCTTCCTTCAATGCCTGGACCAGCGCGCGCTCATCGATGACGCCCCCGCGGGACACGTTGACTAGCACCGCATGGGGAGACATGGACTCGAATTCGGCCGTCGAGAGAAGATTCCGCGTCGAGTCCAGGAGAGGCACCGCCACGAACAGGGCCGTGCTCTGTCTGATGACGGCCTCAAATGGAACTCGTTCGAGACCATCCTTGCTGGTGGTGGTACTTGCTGATGATGTCACTGCACCCAGTTGCTTGCGGTCGGAGATGACCACTTTCATCCCCATGCCGCGAGCGAGAAGAGCAATTCGCTTCCCTGTTGCATCTGTTAGGATCTGACCTGAAATACTAACTATGTTTCTGTCATGGAGCATCTCACCAACAGCACCATTGCCAATAATGCCAGCCACCTCCTCCTGACAAGTCAAGGGGGGCGCGCCGGCCTTGTCGAGGAAATCGAACATCAACGTCTTCCGCCGCGGCCACTCGCCGGCGCGCGTCAGGGCGTTCATCCCCAGGATCTTCCGGCGCGCAGCCAGGTGCAGTGCGATGGCGTGTTCCGAGACGGACTCGGTGTTGGCGCCGGGGATGTAGGAGACGACAATGCCCCGTCTGCGACATGCCTCCAGGTCGATGCAATCGGTGCCCACCGCCACGACCATCACCAGCTTGAGATTGGGGCTGACCTCGGGCGCAAGGGCATTGGCGTCGATCCGCAACGCGGAGAGGACGATCACTGACGCATCGTGGAGGCGCTCGTGGAGCTCTGATAGAGAGGTCTGCGGGTACACGGTCTTGGTGTAGGTATGCGGGGCGGGAAGGTCGAAATCGAGGATGTCTACAAAATCGCCCTGAAGGTAGACGATGTGATGATGGGTCGATGAGATTTGTGTCATTTTGGCGGTTAAGTCACCCGGACTAATGAAGATGTGTGAAGCGAGACGGACGGGGACAGTGTCAAACTTCTTATACTGACTCGGATTTCTTCCCCTCTTCGTTGTTCCTTCCGCGCCTTATCAGTGACATCTGACCCACTGTCCCGCGGCGAAACGCTTCGTCGCTCATCGCCTCCAGTTTCCGAGTCATATACACAGTTATTTAGTCACTACAAGCTTCATCCAATGACTGGACTCAAGTCGTTTGACTAAACAGTCACACGAAGTTTCCAGGGAAACTGCTTACAGCATGGGCCGAACCTCACTCTTCACAAATATCCCCTGGAAGTAGCGAGCTAAATCAGCAACATCCTCCAGCTCACCCATCCATCCGATATATTGATCGGGCCGCATGGCAATCAATCCTCCCCTCAACCGATCTACTCCCCAGGTTTCGTATCCTTTACCGTCGGATTGTTGGCCCCAATCACATGCACTATCACTCCATACCTTGGTAAGGTCGCAGCCCTCATTCTCATCGAAGTGATACACGATACTCGGAAACATATCCAACTCTACATCCACGAAGGGTGCGCTGTGGATCGCCTTGACATCGATGACTGAGTCAAGCTTGCTTTTGGCCGGGGCGAATTGCCTGAGCAGACGAGTCAATCCATCGCCGCATGTCCAGACACGACTTGCTTGTTCCCTTGATCGCACGTCTCCAGCTAGAAGCAGGATACGGAAGCGCCCGTCACTTTCCAGCATTTTCGTGGTCCAGGAAGGCAGACCATTGGCTTGACTTCGAAGTCTCACCGGAACAAGTTTCTCGCCGGGGGTGAGATGCTGAGCTACTGCCTTTGACTGCTTGCAAACCAGTGAGCTCGCACGGTAATACGAAGTGTGGCCCTGAGAGAAGTGCTCCGTCTTGCGCAGAACGTCCCTCATAGCTATTAATGTCTCCTGTGCCACTGGGGCTGCGTGACTCTTCTGTTGTTCTTGCTGTAAGAAAAGTGCAGACCATTGGCGGTCAAAATCGAGGAGCATTTCGGCCAAGGGATAACGCTCAGACTTGTACGTATCGAGGATTGAGGGCTTTGCGAGTCCCTTTGCAACGAGGGCGACCTTCCACCCAATGTTGAATCCGTCCTGCATGCTCATATTCAGGCCCATCCCCACCTTAGGCGAGTGAGTATGAACTGCATCTCCAGCCAAATATACGCGACCCTTTGCATTCGTTTGTGCAATTCTCCGACCGACCTGGAGGCACAAACCAAAAGACCATAGGTTATTGATGAGTCCAGGTATGGGGCTAGGGTTGAACATGCCTGGTATACGGTCCACCAATCGCAAACATCGAAGTCGAAATAAAAAGGACTCATTATCTTCTTTACTCTTTGCCGGATAGATTCTAGGGTCACTGCCAACCGATCAAATTTCTGAGAAACCTCGTGTTCCTCCTGCAATGGGACATAAAACCGGACCAGGTTTTTTTCTCTCGGAACGATGAGCACTGTGCCTGATGCATTGGTCAGACTTCCAATCCGACGTATGTCCGCTGTAAGTCACATTAGCTCATAGCCCTCTCAATCTACTTCGGTGTGAGTGGAGACTGACGGTAATTGGTGATGGGAACGATGTCGATAACTCCCCTGCAGTAAGAATAGAGCGTTAGGTCCCACAACAAGCTCTGTTAACAACAACGCTTTGCTCACCTACCATATGTGATCTGTGGTCGAGCCCTGAAAGGGGATATTGAGCTGTTTCCTAGTCCAGCTGTGCGCTCCATCGCAGCCAATCACATACTTGGCCTTGAGCGTCTCAACAGTTCCAACCTTGTGCTTGCGATGCTGGATCGTGTCCATCTGATCATCAACATTCACCGAGTGATTGAGAGACCTATCCGAGACACCATGAGCCGGCGCTGGGGAGGCTTCTTCCTCACTTAGTGTCCTCAGCCTGAGCGTGATAGGATACGCTTGTGGATCGCTCTCAAGTCCTTCGTCGTATTCCAACGACTCACCGATGACCCCCCTCTCCACCTCAAGGTTGGAATGTTCTGCGATGGCGTCTAATAGGAAACGCTCGATACGGCCCTGGCTCAGCGCAGCGATAGCATATGGTGGATTAGGTTCCAAGTCCGTGGTAACTTGGCGGCACAGTTTTCCGTTCTCATCAGGTCCCTATGCTGATGGGTCAGTTGTGTGGTCTGAGTCCTGCGTTTGAAGAGATTATTGACCCAAGACGTCATACTAAACACTTCATGGCCTTCTTGAAGGACTCGCTGGGCAACGCCAATACTGTCGAGCAATTCCAGGGTGCGGCACCTGAGTCCATCTGCATGGCCTTTGAAGACCTTGGTCCCTTTCTTGTCAATGACGCGAGCGTTGACGCCACAGCGCGCCATCCAGTAGGCGGCCATCAGCCCCGATGGGCCTGCGCCAATGATCACCCTGCGCAACAGTAAGTGACAGACTATCGAAAATGGAATTGAAGAGAACGTACACATCAGTAGAAGACTCGATCGTCTCGGCCATGATAGGGAATGAAGAGTTTCAGAGACTTCTGTCAACCGGGGAGTAACGCAAAGCAAGGTTGACGTCGGCTTCGAAGGTGAAGTCGGGGAAAATCCAAGTATTGTAGTGCTGGAGGAAGGTGGACACCAGGTACATATAAGTGCCCGAACAACTCAAATGTGACCTGGATTATGCGTCGTGTTGTCGCAGGGATTATGCTCCACTCGGGGTTCAAACGGATGGCAAGGACTGGATAGCTTATAGTTCCCCGATGAGCAAGGACGCTCCTGATCGACATCATCTTTCCCATAGTCTGTGGCACCCTAAGTCACCGATAGGCCTCTTTGGCTCCAATATGAATGACAGCATTCGTAGTATGTGCGCGTGTGTGTCTTTCAATCAGATCGTCATAGATGGGCAGGCAAGGGCTGTGTGTTAGTGGGCTAACGATGTAGATTGGTTGAGCTGAGGTACGCAATAGTATGCAAGTAAGTGGCTTTGGGCGCAAAACATTGCTGACACATTGAGACGAGACGGGAGGCCTATGCATGACATGGCCTTAGGTAGTGCCGAACTATGGTTGGACTGAACTATAGTTGGTACACCACCACCACCATCACATTCACCATGTGAGTATCTCAGTTTCCTGCCTCACACAGCGCTGCTTGCTACTGACTTCTCACTTCTCACCTGACTGACATCCCGATAAGCTTCTCTCTCTCTCTTCCTCTTACCCTCCTCCAGCACAGACGCGCTGCGCCTGAATATGTGGCTGGCAACCCGCGCCACCACGATCTCGAATGCCACGACACGACTAACCCTGCCGAAGAATGTGCGGAGCAGATGCGCACCAAATGAAAACGTCGAGATCGTCAGGGCCGTTACTTATTCCGGGACGATGATCGTACGCGCCTCGATGGCAAATCGCCGGGGAATGTGGGAGCGCGGCCTTGAATGGACTGCTCCGGAATGCTGGGCGTGCAGATGATGCACTTGACAGATTCCTTCTCGTGGAGGTGGAAAGTCTTCTCTCGCATAAACACGGAGGCTGGCATACGGGTCCGAAGTCTATAAAATGATGGAAAGATTCGTGGTTCGAAGAGAAGAAGAACAATCAGATCACATTCAGCATCTTCAAGGATAAGTTCGCATCAACGATCACTATATATCTTCCTTCGCTGGCTTGAGCTCAAGCTCTTTGCAATTCGCAATTCTTTGAACTATACATCCTACCTTGTCTTGAGAACAAACAAACAAACAAACACCACACCTCTAACCGTCAAAATGCAGTGGACAACAGTGAGTTCCCCACCGACCTCCACCCAAACCAAACCCAAGCCCAAAGACTTATCCCCCATTTATCCTAATAGATCACCACAATCCTCACCCTCCTCCTCCTCAACACCACCCAGGCCTCGGCCTTCAGCATTGCCCGAGTCTGGGCCAGCTTCTACAGCGAGTGTCCCGCCGACGACGACTCCTCCGACACACCATCCGATGACCCCACCGAGACAAGCAACAGCAACAGCATCCTCTCCAACTTCTTCGCCTCCTTCTTCCAACGCACCGACGACCAATCAGCCACGGTCGTCATCGACGTCTACTCCGGCACGTGCCAGGCCTTCCCCGTGGGGCGGCGCTACAACGCCGACGCCATCTCCTTCAACGCCGAGGCCCTCTACACGGGGCCCTACGACAAATGCAACGTGACCCTGCACGAGGTGCCGGGCTGCGTCGACGCCCCCCTGGTCGAAGTCCCCATTCAGGACGGCAGCGCCGCCGCCACGTGCACCGAGCGCGAGTTCCACTCCCTCTCGCAGATGTGGATTCTGCTGCACTGCGAGCCCAACACGAAGTCGTCCACCACCTCCACCGGTACGAGCAGCAGCAAAAGCACCACCACCACCACCACTGGCGGCGGTAGTGGTCAGCAGAAGCCGTCGCAGCAGGCGCAACCTCACGATGATGAAGATGAGGATGATGATGACGACGAGCCACAATCATCCTCGTCCACCTCCACGGATCCCAAAATCCCCACCATCCCCGATATCCCCGCCATTCCCGACATCCCCAAGCTGCAACCCACCATCTTCTCGAAATTGCACGCGGCGCTGGAGAATGCCACCACCGCCACCAATACCACCGCCGCTCCGGGTGCCGGTGCTGTGAAAACCAACTCGACGGCTCCGGCTCTGTCGCGGTCGATGCGTCTGCGGCGCGCGGCACGCACTCGCTTGTCGAATCTGTGAGAATCGATTTTTTGAAGTTTTTTCTGTTGGTGTCTTCATTTGGGTTTTGTATATTGAGAATGTGGGGGGGGGCGTCTTTTGGGGCCTCGTGTATGTCTTGTATATCTGTCAGCTTTTTGATTTAGCGATTGGGTGGTTGGATTTTGTGGTGTGAGGAGAATACTGTATAAGTGTGCAAGGATAGATTGGATGTCATGTATCATACATATTATAATAAAGCTTTATGTTCAACAAACAATAGTTATCATCTTACATAACAAACCGCTTATTCACATACCGGAGTTAGAACGAACTTCAATATACACGGCTCCGCCCGCATGCCCTTTTTTTTGGAACCTCGACAAGAGAATACGAACGAGTACTCAGAAGGCAGCCACAGGTCAACCGATCTGTACAATTAGACGCAAAAATGGACAATATATTCGCCTATCACTGCCGCTGTTGAAGACCTAGTATGAATCAAAACCCAAAGCTGTCAAGTAAGGAGTTCGCATCGGGCTCATGGAACATCGTCGGGGGCGGTTTCGGCGTCTTCTGTGATCTAGCCGGGGTCTGCGGTTTAGGGGCGAGGCGCTCCTTGACCGGCAGATCTGCCACCACGAGACTACTCCGACGTCGGAGCAGCTTGCGGTAATCAGGCTCCTCTTCTTGCAGGTCCACTGGAATCTCTTTCGCCTTTTTAGGAGGGAGTGGTAGTCCACCGAGGAACTCCCAGTGTCGAACGAGATCCAGTGCAAGAAGGTCACAGCCCATACGATCATATAGACGAGCGTTGCGGGTGACAAAACTCCATTCCGCCTGCGGGGAGATTTTCGATGCTCCTTTGAGTGTTTGCAAGGTCTTTTCGCGGAGTTGCTTGTAAAGGACGACTAATGCAGGGTCGTTGGAGAGGTAAGACTTGGCCTGCAGAGGAATCATCCCCGGTGATCCAGGTGAAGAGGGTGTAGGAGGTATGAGTGACTCGACAGGTGACTTCTCATCGTTAGTGTTTCTCGCCACATTTGGGTCGTAGGAATGACTCACGATTAATGATTGGACGGCCATCCCGCGACGTCCTAGCATCCAGAAAGCCCAAGAAGCCATCCATCGATTGCCATCGGCAGCAGCCTCGGGAAGCACCCTTTCCTCGAGAAGCTCCTTCAGAACAGGCCCATCATCGCCTTCATATGCACGGGTGATGGCAATCGCAAGCTGTAGATCGCCCACTTGATTCACACATACGAGAGCAGCGTCGCGTATATGCCCAGCAAGTAGGAAAAATGTGGCAGCGTATTCTACCGAGAGTCAATCAGGGCCAGCTCCCGAACTCATCGGCGGGGATAAGGAGACTCACCAAACCTCCGTTTCCCAAGTAGAGCATAAGCGTTCTTCAGTGCTGCTGTTTTCCATCGCGGTTCGTCGAAATTATTCGACAGCAACCGTTGCGTCATCGCTTGCTCACGATGCCAATGCGCCATGCGCCACAGTCCTTGGAGAATATTTTTCTTTCGGAGAGCCAGGTAGTACAATGAGCAGTCGACCGGGTTCTTCTCCTCAGTCTTGGTGTACTCATTTCGAGCAACCACCTCGAGTTGAGCCCGCTAGTACCTGTTAGTCTTATGTGGATAATCAGTCAGTGTCATATCTCAACTTACCACGGCAGCAGGGTTCGACAGCCACATGAAAATGCCGCTCTCACGAGCTGACTTCCAACCCACTTTTCCACCGTACTGTCGCGAAACCAGATCTACCAGAATATCCTGGCTACCGCTATGAAAAGCCCACACAATTTCTCTCCATGACACTGTATCGCTGATGGCGACTCCCTGAGTCCTGCGCAGCAGATGTTGTCGGAAGAAGAGGAGATACCGAGCAGCATTGTCATCCATTGAGCGCCGGTGCTTCTCAACAGTTGCCACACATTCAACGGTGTCAACAAGCCGAAATTGTTCCTGGCTGGACAGTTGTGGTAGGGCAAATCGTGCCAGATTTTCATTGAGCGCAACAGCTATATTCTCATCCACCACGGTCACTTCATCCTCCAGGGAAAGGTCGGCATACGATGAATTGAGCTCTTTTGAGGTTGCTTTCTGTGGGGTCTGGAATCGTTAGTGACACGATATTTCAAATAATGAGTTCAAACATACATCATGCTCGAGGTAGAAGTCCTCCAGAGACATTTCAAGAAACCCATCGATGTCGTCCCCTTCCGTGTAAAATTTCAGTTTCCGATGGAGGTTCAATAGTATGGAGTGCACTAAATTTGTCTTTCCGCTGAGAATACACTGTGCCAGAAATTGTGGATGGAAAACAGGTAATGGTCCGTTGAGTCTGCTCACGACATCAAACAGGTCAACTGTAGAAAGGCCACGAGCAGGTATACGCAGCTGAGATATCAGGTGATCAGCAGCACTGATCTCATTTTCATAAATGAATAGTTGGTTTCCAGCTCCGATGGCGAGATGACCATTGCTAAGCCAGCAGGAGTCCCCAATGGGATGTGGTGTGAGATCACGGATCCAGATCTCTCGGATCTGTGTCCAGGACGGACGCGAATCAAGATAATCGTAGCGCAGTTGAGTGAGAAGAATGACTTTGTGTGGAAATCCAACTGCAAGGATAGATTGCATATCCGGGGTTGATGTCCAATCGAGGTCACGAATGGAGTCTTGCTGCGAAAAGTGCTCCTCGAATTCTAACTGCGCATCGTTCGTATCCCATATAGTCAGATGTGTACGATCTTCATCGACCAGGGCAGCTTTGCGAATAGAGCTACCGCTAGCCAGTGACAAGTTCGTGATGCCTGTTTCGACTGTAGATGTCAGGAGCCAATCGACGCGATCGTTGTCCCTATCAACCTTGGCCGTCCACGTCCTGACGGTGCCAGTCTTAGTGTATGACAAGGCAATATCCGGCGAGAAGAGGTCGAAAAAGCCAGTCATTTCGGCTTTGCGTCCAGCTGGATCAACAGGCAATATGTAAGCGATGTCCTCTTGAATGCCAAGGTGAAATGTGCAGAACTTGCGTAGACTGCACTCGGGCTTCCCCTGTTTCGAGTTCGGCAGCTGTATCTCCCAAGCTATTCCATCCATGCCACTCGCAATGGTTGCTATATACACGACACCATTCGATTCCGCAGCAGGAATCGGTAAGACACAGAGTGGTTTGCTGGACAGCTTGAATTTTGCTGCTGCAAGCTTTTTCGCATGGAAAGAATGAATATCCCAAACGGAAATTCCATCATGATGAAGATTCACAAGGAAGTCTCCATCGCCGACAACACAGCTGCGATGAATATGCTCTTCTGCTAACAGTGCACACTGCCGGAGCAGCACCGACCCACCATCTCTCTGTTTCTGCCTCCAAATCAACGCTTTGCTGTCATCTGTTCGAGAGGCGAGTGTATCTCCAATTGCATTACGGACAATCTTCTTGATTGGCCCATTGTGTCCTGTCCATGATGCTCTCATGACAACTCGGTTCTTGCGGGGTGCTGGGTCGAATAGTACGTCGACTGGCGAGTCAAACCACTCAATCCGACCGTCGAAATGGTGAACTAGGACGGCGATCGAGTCGCCCGGTTCTGTACCCTGGAAAGCGCACAGCTGCGCATAGTCCTCTTCAATCGTCAAACCAGGCATGAACGCAAAATTCAAGCCCTCGACATGGAGAATGTTGAACACGTTTAATTCCGCCTTGGCCTTCGATCCAACATCTTGCAACGCCCACGCCGACATGTGTCCCTCGCCGTCTATGACAACGCAAATTTCCGGGCTCTTGTTTGCCACCTCGATTATATGCTCCAGGGCGTGATTATCCGTGTTGCCTGTGCCTCGCTGGACAGCCTTCTCGGTCGCAACGCAAAAATCTCGGCTGTCAACTATGAAGCCGTACCGCCGGGAGGTATCCGTTTCCTTTGTTGCATGTCTCGGCTGAACCGATGCGCCCATGTCGATTTGCGTCCAAAGTTGCAAGGCAGTTGGAGCATGATAGTCCATCGTTGCCCAGACCCTGATCTTATTGTCCGCGCACAGCGTGTAGAAGACATTGCCCATCGACTGCTCCCTATGGTAGGGTCGGCGCCAGTGAATCCCGGTGACAACGGTCGGATGTGGAAGATAAGACACTTCGAACCGAATGTTATTACCAAAATTCAGCCTTCGCCAAACCTTAACCATGCGATCATAATGTCCGGCGGTCACCAAAAGCGTCGCATCCGGGGAGAACTGGGCGAACTTGACCGTGCTTGCCAGCGCTTGCTTCCACACCGGTCGCGGCTGATCGTTCAGAAACCAGAGGGTAAGGTGGGAGTTTCCCAGAAGCAGTTCATCGGGCGAGCCCCACGATAGGGTACGGATCGTCTCGTTGTCATCGTCGCTGCGGAACGTTTGTACTAGGGACCACTATACAGAGAGAGCACTTTCAGCGTCACTGTCCTCGGCCTTGTTCTTGTCCGACTGTACCAACTTCCACTTTGTGTCATCTCAGCAGGAACCGACCTTGAGCGTTTCGTTCTGGATTCCATATGGTTGGTATATGAAAACGTCAGGCCCACCACACGCGGCAATTTTGCCGGAGACTTCATCGATCGTTACTGCCTCTAAGACATCGGTATCGTCGACGTAAATGGTTTGTAGGAGCTTGTGTGGACCGCCGAGGATAACCAGTGCTTGGCCGGAAATGTACACCTAATACAAGCCGACGCGCGAGGCCCAATGGTTTAGCGAAACGGCAGAGAAGTAACAACGAGGGGAGTCGCATGAGGTTCAGTAGCGAGCCTTACAATAACGCGAAGCCCATCCCACAGCGCAGTGCTGAACGACTGGAGCTTCGTCGGGGGCCTCCCCGGCAGTACCGCTCGCATAGAGGCGGTGGTTGTTGGGGGTTGGACGCTTGTTGCGCACAAGACGAGGTTACACCATTGCCAGGTGCAGAGTCACAGAGTGTCTATCAAGAGAATAGATAAAGAGGGTAGATAGTACGAGAAAAGTCAGCAAGAAAGGGTGATGTGGTGACAGGGAAATAGAGGGGGTGGAAGTTCTTGGAGGAGGGGAGGCCACCCCGATGGAACAAGCTAAGCTGTTGCTCTCCGCTGCTCCTCCCGCCTTCCGCCGTGTGACCATCGGCTGATCACTTGCAATCCGCTTCATTGTCCCGTTTGCTGTACTGTCCCACATTGAACAAACAATGGACTTACAACGAGCAAAGCAGGCAAGCTTAGCATTCCTGGGAAGAGGCATGTATATGTGGTGTTTAAAATCTCAAGCTAAGTCATTATACAGTACATCGAATCCAAGTGTCTATGCATATGGTACGTCATTCATGACCGATATATAGGCCCAAAGTATATGTAACAGGAAGTGGAAAACCAGAGTCTACACGCTATCATAACAACGCAAACGGGTATCATGATCTTAATCAAGAAATTCAAGCAAGCCAACAAAGAAAGCCATCATCACAACCTGAAGATGATAACAAGCAGGGTGCTCATGTTCGTCGACCAGACGACCGCCGCCCGTCCGTTGGCGACTCGGGCTCTTCATCCACGAATCGAACACTTGTGCCAAGCGCACTACCTCGTCCAGCACGACGTCGACTAGAGAATGTTCGAGGTAAGGCGCCCGCTCGTAGTAGACGGCTAGCAAAGGGCGTGTACAAAGGCGTTGCCGGGGTCGTGGAACCCTGGGCCACTGGCGGCGGCGCCCGCTTGGCGGGCGATGTGAGGAAGTTAGGGGTGGCTAGAGGTGTTGTTGAAGTAGCCTGGGGTTCTGTAACATAGGTCTTGAAAGGAGTCTCGACCTGATAGTAGGGATCGAAGAGGCGTCGGTTCGTATCGAGTCCGAGGGGAGCATCGAGGTTTTTCCGCGGACTAAGCAATGACCCTGCGGTATCTCGCGCTTCGAGTTTCGCTCTTGCTTGGTCAAGCCAGTTGCGGAACATGCCACGTGTATGCTTTCTGAGGTTGCGCTCCTTCATCGCGTCGGCCATTTCAGAGAAGCGCCTGACTTGGAAGATGCGGAAGCTCAGCTTGCGAAGCTGTGAGCTGGCTTGTGATAAAGCATGGAAATGGTGTATACTGTTGGCTTGTTCCTCTTGGCGACGAACCTCAACCAGATTGTCAGCCCAGCGAGTCAACTGTTCTTGCACGTTCTGACGAGCGTAATGATTATCAGCATAACCACACTCTTGAATCCGAGTGATTGTCCTATCTTGCCATCGGCCCAGAAGCTCGGCTGCGATAACCAATACTTTCTGTCGCGAAAACTGTATAGCTCGATGCTCTAATTCAGCCACAGTACGAGCTTTCGATAACCAGTGCAGTAGAGCATCGGTCGCGAGCTTGATTTTATGCTTCCTCCGAGTCTTGATGTAGGCTTCCTGGCGACGCCGTTTGGCTGATTCCGTTGCAGCGACACGCCACTGTTTGGTATACTTAGTGGCTAGGAAGTAAAACCTGGCTTTTTGTGCCCAATCCTCAATCTTCGTCACATGCTGAAGCTTTGAGCGCCAGGCCACAAGCGATTCCTGGGCGAGACGTGGTGCATAGAACTCAAACGCAATGTCGTCTCGTTCATGTTGTACAGCAAGTTGATTCCGCCAACACAGGAGCTTAGAACGAAGTAAGTCTTTGGTTTGCCTTCGTTCATAGGCTTCTGCACGATCAAGGAGTACTGAGTACGTTCCGCGCACATTTGTCACAAACTTGAACAAGGTTTCATGCTTGATTCGTTGTTCCCGGATCCGCTGCATCAATCGGAATCGTTCGGCCAGAATCCACTTATACATAGCTTCTAGCTTCAAACGTTCCTCAATGCGGGCGTGAAGAGCCTGGCAACGAAGCAGATCATTCCACGCTGTCCAGGCATTACGTACAATGCGGTGTCGATCCATTTCCCTTGCCTGCTGTAACATCTGAACCCTGTGAATCCATTGTTGATACGTTGATCGAAGAATTCTGTTGTCCACCATGTGTGAGACATGGGCAGCAACCGGTGCTAGATGAACCTGAGCCTTCCATTCTCTGAAGGTCTCACCTAGAAGCTGACGTCTTTGGATCGAAGACGCTTCCTCTTCAATAATATTTACGTCCTCAGTCCTGTGACGCCAGGTTTGCCAAGCTGATGTGAGTAGATTGTGCCGACTTCTGACTTCAATATCATGGATCTGCTCCCTGTTTGTTCGAAATTTGCGCAGCCAATACAGTAAAGACCGTCTCTTGAGACAATGGTCATACCACTGAGGGGCACGCTGCTCGCAGAAGTGCCAGAACCATTGCCAGTAGGCAGCATTTGTCAGCCTCTCGTCATGCATGGCCGCCGCTTCCGCCTCCGCCTGCCTGAGCTGTCTCGTCCTTTTCCTCCAGGCATTGAAGGGCCGCCGCAAGGCAAAGCGTTGAGCTTTCAGTTCGTTCACTGCAGTGATTTCTCGCCAGGCGTTGAAGTATTTGACACCGAGAATATGTCGGCGAGCGGCTGAGGTTCTTGCAACCTCTTCCGAAGTAAATTGCGCCCAGTGAGAGAATGCTTTAGTCAACAAGTAGAGATCCCGAGCCCGTCCAGCGCGCTCCTCAAGATGATTGAAGAACCTTTCTGTTCGTTCCACCCGACGCTTTTCTAGGATCTTTCCATGCCATGTCTCGAAAGCTTGGCGCAACAATGTGCCTCTGTCTCGGTTGAAAGCGACAACCTCCATATGCTGATGGGTCTGTCTTCTTTCCACAGCCTTCTTGAGCCACTGGGTCAGTATCCGGCGGTGAATCGCTCGTTGGCGATACATATTGAAAGTCGAGGCGTCGCGCAGCAGGTCTGAAAGCGATGGCCGATAGAGTAGTTCCGGAGGGGCTTCAGGTCGCCCAACAGAGCCGCTATCCTCATCCTGAGAAGAAAGCTGATCCTCGTCATCATCGGAGCTGCTCGAAGACTTTGATGGTTGCGAACGCGATGCCTCGGCTATTCTCGCGGAGCGGTCTCTGTCAACAGCAGCACGAGCATACAAGCCATTTGGCATGGGTTTCTCCTCCGGTGCCGACTCTGAATTCGCTGCAGCCAGGAGATCGAACCTGTTCATGAGTCGACGACCCACATCAAGAAATTGGGCGATCAGTTGTGTTCTGTCTGGAGAGTCGGTGCCCTTTAAGGCGACCCCGCGCTTTGTATTTGGGGTGGAATCCGGAAAGGGATACTCGGCTTTGCCGGTCTGCAGTCGCGACATCGAGGACCGTGAGCTTGGTCGATTAATGAAGCTCCGTTGAGTGGGATCGTCACCGACATCGTACATGGAATTGAACGAGGCGCGTCTCCGCAGAGGCGTTTGCATTTCGGAGTATGTCGGTTCAGTAGATTCCCCGGTAGCTTCGTGTCTCGTGTTCCTAACCCGGCTCTCGACTGAAGGCACAGTGTTAACGTAAGTGTCCTCCTGCCCATCATCTTCGCCGATTTCAATCACGATTCCCATCCGTTCCAGCAAGCTTTCGAATTTCTCGAAGAGCAACTCCCCTGCGATGTCCTTGCTCCCCATCTTAAGCAAGAAACGCATGCAGGCATAGCCCGGATCCGCGTCCACACCATGTTCTGCAATGACCTGATCGTAAGCATTGAAGAGTACTCTGTATGGGAGGCGCTCGACTTCTGGATCGCGCTCGGCGCGAGTAATGACTTGGTAGAGGAGGCCGACATCTAGTGTGTAACAAACGAGCCCATGTTAGCATCGCTTGAAAGAAAAGGCGCGAGCAAAATTGCAACAGTCGATTTACATACCATCGTCTGAGAGCAACGGGTCTTCATAGGACAAAGGTCTTCGCTGAAGAGGAGCGGGAGGCATCGAAAACTTCGCGGCCTAGGGCGCGTTTTGTCGCATATGGGTCATGGAGGCGGGAAAGAATATCAACCATTGCGAGGCCCTTGGTTGGGAAGTGACAGTGGAGTCCCAGAGTGCTCAAGTCTGAGAGCTATAATTATTAAACGCGATCCGAATGGACCTTCAAACCCAATGGCTACTACGGCCAGTGAACGAGCATTGACTTTGGCGGAGGGACCACTTAATTGTTTTGGCCTCGTGTCGCGCCGGGCGATGGGATACATTGTGGTCATGTGATACGTTACTTACGTAATGTCGGTCTCTTTGCCTGCGTCCCCATGATCGATAATGCTGCCAATCACTTACTGACTGAGGCCTCTGTCAAGTGCCAGGCTGTAAGAGAACAATAAGCAAATGCCTTCAACAAAGACAAGACCCATTGAAAAGTTTGCCAAGGCCACGGCCAAATGTTCTGCAGAGGTATCCCTCACGTCCCTTCTGCTTGTCTCAAATGACTCTTCCGTCAGGCATCATGTACACGCCCAACTGACTTGTGACTGCACCCTAGGCGGCTGCATATGGCAAATGTGTTGTTGCTGACTATAATGCGGTACACAAAGACATGTGTGCCAAAGAATTTATGAAGCTTAAAGACTGTTTTCTGGTAGAGTGGAATCCCGACACTCTCGAATGAATAGATGACTGATTTATGTGCTATAGGCGGCCTCAAAGAAGGTTTAATTTAACTGAACTGTATTGGGCGGCAGAACGGAGAGTTTACTAGGCGTATTTGGACTGGCTGAGCATGCATTATGTCTGAATGATAAAAGACGAAAATGTTCGTGTAATAATTTGGGATAGCGAAGAACTCATTTTATCTCATCACGGGGAAAAAAGAAACCACTGGGAATTGTATGAATCTAACTGTTGTCGTTGCACATCTTAAGTTGGCCAGAAGTTCTACAGCTTCAGCAACCGCAACAAGAAGGTGGCCTTCTGGACTTCTTGTTCTTCCTGGATGATCATCTGAGGCTCTTCGCCGCTTGGCAGCTTGCCGTCGACAAGCTCGTAGCGCTCAAGCGGTCTGCGCACAACCTTTTCGATAGCCTTGGCCTGCGTCTCAAACGCCTTGTTGATACCAATGTCTTCGGGGTCGGACAGAACCACGTACTCCATTTTCACGTCGTCGGTGGGCACCAGACCGGCCTTCTTGCGGAGACGCTGCAGGCGGTTGATGATCTCACGGCCCAATCCTTGCTCGGCAAGGTCGGGGTACAAGTTCGCGTCCAGGATGGTCACGAGCTCATTATCTGTGTTTGATTCCATGTTCACCGACGAGGATTCCTCCTTGAGACCCTTCTTCACAACAAGATCGCCCTCGATAAGCTCAATGCCGTCCACGAGCATCTTCTTTTCGGCGACGAACTTCTTGACATCTTCACTGGTCAGCGAGGGCAATGCCTTCTTGACCTTCTGGACATCCTTCTTCAACTTCTTGCCGAGGGTAGGCCAGTCAGCCGAAACACTGTACTGAACATTGTATTTAGCCTCGTCAGAAGAAAGAACAAGCTCAAGAACATTAAGTTCCTCCAGAATGTAGCTCTGTAGAGACCTGACATCTTCCAGGTACTGCTCGTCCTGGTGGATGACGACAAGCGTCTTCAAAGGAGTCTTCAGACCGATGTTCCGTCGTTCACGAGAGGTACGAGCCATTTCAATGACCTTCTGCATCCGGCCAACTCTTCTCTCGACGACCTCGTCGAAAAGCTCCTCACGCACCTCGGGGAAGGGGAGGAAGTGGACACTGCGGCTATCCTCAGCCCGGAGAGCCTCGGGAATGTGGGGCAGGAGCTTCAAGTAGATAGTGTCGGTGAGGAAGGGAGTGAAAGGAGCCAACCCCCTGACCAGAGTGTACAAGACCTCGAAGAGGGTGTTCAGGGCGTGCTGGGTGTCGTCAACACCGTTCTCACCCTTCAAACGTCTGCGGTTGAATCGGATGTACCAGTTGGTGGTGTTGTCGATCAAGCCAAGCAGGCGAGGGACCACAGTGTACAAACGGTATCCTGCCATCTCTTCGTTCACGAACTTGAGAAGACTCTGGCAGCTGGCCAGAATCCAGCGATCCATGACATTGGTGTTGGTGGCTTCCGCCTTGGGGTCAAAGACGTAGTCGAAGCCCTGGGTCTTCTTGAAGAGAGCAGCTTGTCCCTCGAAGAATTTATAACTGTTCCACAAGGGAAGAAGAACCTTGGCAACAATCTCCTTGACACCGGATTCCTTGAATCGGAGGGGCTCTGCTCGCACAACGGGAGAGTTAATCAGATACAGTCTCAGGGCGTCCGAGCCATATTTGTCCATGACCAAAGACGGATCAGGGTAGTTCTTCAGACGTTTCGACATCTTCTTTCCATCTTCCGCAAGAACAATACCATTGACGACACAGTTCTTGAAGGGGAGCTTGCCGAAAAGGTGAGTTCCCAACACCGTGAGAGTGTAGAACCAACCACGGGTTTGGTCCAGACCTTCCGCGATGAAGTCACCAGGGAAGCTCTTCTCGAACTGGTCCTTGTTCTCAAAAGGATAGTGCTGAGAAGCGTAGGGCATGCTACCTGACTCGAACCAGCAGTCAAACACTTCGCTCACACGGCGAAGGACACCCTTGCCCTGCTTGCTTGGAATAGTGATGTGGTCAACCTTATCACGGTGAAGGTCAGTGAGCTCTCCCTCGTAGCCGCTAAGCTGCTTTAATTCTTCGACGCTACCAACCGCAACGACCTCCTTGAAGTCCTCGCTGACCCACAGGGGGAGGGGAGTACCCCAGAAGCGATTGCGGGAGATGTTCCAGTCACGCGCATTCTGAATCCAGCTAGAGAATCGGCGTTCCTTCACGAAACTAGGCACCCAGTGGGATTCCTCGATACCTTGAAGCATCTGCGGGATGATAGGGCCGATCTTGACGAACCATGCAGGCACGGCTCTGTAGATCAAGGGAGTATCGGAGCGCCAGCAGAAGGGGTAGCTGTGAGTGATCTGGCTGTCAACGATCAAGCGACCAGCTGCCTTCAGGTGCTTGATGATGGCCCTATCAGCGGCCTTCACGTGCTGCCCTTCGAAATCTTTCACCTCAGCGGTGTAGCAACCAGTTTCATCGACAGGGTTGGGAGGGCTGCGATTCTCGTTGATGACACCATGTTCCACGGAAACCTTGTAATCGTCCTCACCAAAAGCTGGGGCTTGGTGAACGATACCAGTACCATCCTCGGCAGTGACATAGTCAGCGGTCAAGACACGGAAGCCGAATTCCTTGAATTCTTCGTAGAAGTAGTCGAAAAGAGGCTGGTACTTCCAGTCCTTCATGTGTTCACCCTTGAAACGGTCGACAATCTTGAATTTGGCCTTCTTAGGGTCCTTGTACAGGGTACGGAGCAGGGACTCGAGGAGGACGTAGTGTTTTCCGGAGGCTTCGTCAAGGATTTTGATATATTCGAAGTTGGGGTTGACTGCGAGAGCGATGTTGGAAGGAAGAGTCCACGGCGTGGTCGTCCAGGCAAGAAGTGCAGTCTCAGGGTCGTTCACGAGGGGGAATGTGACCACAACGGCAGGATCCTGAACATCCTTGTAGTTCTGCTGGGCCTCAAAGTTACTGAGGGGGGTGTTGAGGGCAGTCGAGTAAGGCATGACACGGTAGCCACGGTAAACAAGACCCTTGTCGAACAACTGCTTGAAAACCCACCAGATAGACTCCATGAAGCTGGCATTCATGGTCTATACAACAAATGATTAGAAAATACTCTTGAAGCTTAATGATGCTTTGGATGTCGAGATGTTCAAGCGATATGAAGACAAGAAGACAAGAAACCAATATAGCAAAGACCTACCTTGTAGTCATTGTCGAAGTCAATCCAGCGACCTAGTCGCTCGATAGTCTCACGCCATTCAGAGGCGAATCTCATGACAATTGCTCGGCACTCCTCGTTGTATTTCTCAATTCCGATCTTCTGGACGGCTTCCAGACCCGACATTCCCAGCTTCTTGTCAATCTCATACTCGATGGGAACACCGTGGGTATCCCAGCCGAACCGACGCTCGACATAGTGACCCTTCATAGACCAATAACGGGGAATAATATCCTTGATGGTCGAGGCAAGCAAGTGACCGTAGTGAGGAAGGCCAGTCGCAAATGGAGGGCCATCGTAGAAGGTGTAAGGTTCGCGGCCCTCGGAGAGCTCGACCTGTCTCCGGAAAGCGTTGATCTCCCTCCACCTCTTGAGGATGGCCTCCTCTTCACGAGGAAAATCAATGGACATGACGAGCAGGTGAGTGCGGTCGTCAGAAAGGGCGGGGGGAGGCTGCAATCGATGCGATCTGCGCAGAGAGGGATGGCCGCGGGGTAGAAATAGAGTCGTGCGCACGATAAAGTCGTGAGTCACCCCGCGGTTGGAATTTTAGCCAAGCTGCACAAAGGAAACCAAACCGCCTAGTGCGTGCCCCGCCTGCCGCCGGAATGAGGCGCGCCGCGACTCAAGGTTCCTAGTAAGTAGCCACAATACTTGTTATCCACATATGACTAGCTCTTCTACACTGGACCCTGAACCAGCTGGACCAAACTGATCATGGATAGCTACGGGATCTTATTTTTGTCTATCATCGACGACATTAAGGACTGATGCATAGTTCAGCTTCCTCGACGCTGCAATCTACTCATCCTCTTCATCCTCCTCCTCATCATCATCTTCGTCCTCATCTTCCGCTTCAGATACTTCTTGTCCGAGATCCTTCAGGCGTTGCTGAAAGAAATCAATGAGTCACTTACATGCACATCAGAATTTGAGTAAAGGGGTGACTCACCTTATCCTGGTTTCTCTTCGCTTCGAGGTCCCCAAAGACAATGAGAAGATCTTCTAGTTCGGACTGTGCCGCCTGGCGTGCTTCTTCCTTCTCGCTGGCCTCGGATCGGGCCTTCTCAAGCTCTTTTCGTACGGCTTCCAGTGCTGCTGCCGTCTTCTGAGCTTCCGCTTTAGCCTGCTCGACCTCGCTCTCCGCATTCTCAATCCTCTTTTCGAGCGCAGCGTGTTTGTCTGAGCTGTCATCGCGCGCGGATTGCAGGTCATGCGTAGATTTCTCGATGGTCGACTTCAACTCGGACTGTAGCCCATGCTTGGTGGTCTCATGCTCGGCAATTTCGGCCTTGTGTTGCTGCTTGATCTTGTCAATATCCAACTTCAGAGTCTGAATTGTGTCATTGAGGCCAGACACTTCATGCGCGTGCTTCTCGGTGTTGGCACCGCTGCCCGACTGGAGGTCCTCAACTGTTTTCTGCAGCTCGGACAGCGAAGTTGCATGCTTCTCTCTATCCGTATCGAGCGTAGATTGAAGGTCGTCGATTGTTTTTTGCAGCTCAACCAGTGATTCTGCATGCTTCTCTTTAGCCGCGTCATGCTTAGATCGTAGATCATCAATCGTTTTGTTCAAGTCAAACATTTCCTCGACATGTTTCGCCTTCTGCGAATCGAGTTCAGATTGCAGCGTAGTTGAAGTCGAGCTTTGAGCAAACAACTCTGCTGCATGCTTCTCTTCACTGGCTTGCAGTGCGGATTGAAGGTCATTGATCGTCTTGTTCAGAGAAGACAACTCCTCGGCGTGTTTTCCTTTCTGTGCATCGATTTCGGACTGGAGAGTACTAATCGTCTCGCTCTGCGCTGACAATTCTGCGTGCTTCTCTTTGCTAGCTTCTAGCTGAGACCGCAGCTCCTCGATTGTCTTATTCAGGTCAGACAACTCCGATGCATGCTTTTGCTTGTTCAACTCGAGCTCGGACTGGAGTTTGCCGGCTGTCTTATGCAACTCAGACATTTCAGCGGTGTGTTGTTCTTTGTTGGATTCGAGTCCCGACTGCAGAGATTGGATCGTGCTATTGAGGTCTAGAACCTCAGCCACATGCTGCCCCTTGATCTTTTCAGCCTCGGAACTCAATTTCTGAATTGTTGCCTTCAGTTTAGCAATCTCGCCTACATGCTGGTCTCGAACTCGAGCAAGGTCTGTTTCCAGAGACCGGATATACTTCCGTAGATCAGCTGCCTCGCCGTCATGGTGCTTCTTGGCGTGATAGAGCTGCCTTTCGTAATCAGCTGCGGTTTCCTTAAGGCGTTTTTCGCAAGCTCGAATCTGCTCCTCATGCTTCCTTGAGAGTTCGTTTTGGTCGCGCTTCTGCTGCTCCTTCAACGCCGCAATATCCTTCTCGTGGCTTCTTTTGAGCGATTCGGTAACTTGCTGTGACTTGGTGGACTCTACAGCAGTAGAATCTCGAGTTTTTCGGTGTTCTGCTTGCTCTTGCTCAAACTTTGACTGCAAAGCAAGCAGGTCCTCTTCCAGCTTCTGTACTACACTTCCTTTCTCTTCGATTTCCGCTCGAAGAGTATCAACTAGCTCACGTGAAACACCTCTTTCGACACCGTTGGTGATGATGGATATTTCCAATTCGGGCTCTCGGTCGATTGCACGAGTTAAACGACTGAAATTGTCCTTCAAGAATTCGATGAAGGCCCGATCGAAATAGATCTCCGGCAGTCCGCCATCGGATTGTGCTCCAACTGTTTGTGGGAGGACCTCGAAGTCACGTACCAAGGGAGCTTCTCTAAACCGGGTGATCCGGTCAATGTATTGTTCTCTCCCCAATTGATCGAGAATCAACTTGTGCAATGTCTTGCGAGGTATAGGCGAGTCTTTGGAGGAGAATTCATATATGATTCCCAGTAGGATTGTGCAAAGGCCAGGCACAAGCACATTGGAGATTCCACGATGTTTGACCTCTTGGAGTAAACTCTGAATGCTGCTGCCCTCGCCCAGAAAATCATTCACAGCATCTGGCTCCTCATATAGCCAGCCGCAAAGCAACATCAAATACCCAAGGGTGATACGCTCATCATCGCCGCGCTGCAAGCCGGTGATCAGGTTTCCCACTATAGTCTGAATACAGGTGACCACTTCTTCGCCCTGTTCAGCATCACCCTCGGTCACTCCCATAGCGATTTCCTTTGCTTCGGGGTTCTCCCAAAGCAACTGATACATGAGTACAGCCGCCATCCAGGTTTGATAAGGATCAGCGTTTCCACGAGACTCTGGTGAGGTGAGTAGAACGGATAGAATGTTCGGAATCTGGTCTTCGCCGCTCACATGGCCTTGAATCGCCCGACCCAATACATGAACGCGGATTCCAGAATGGTTCGCAAAGAATGCCTTGACACACTCACAGGCAGCTAGACGTGCATCTAGTAGCGATATAGGTGCAGGCTCTAGTGTCAATTTGAGCAAAGCTTCGATCACATTGATCGGTTGAGTCTGTTTGACCTCCATGGTGCCATTAGCAGCAGCATTGTTGGCCTCTTGTGGGCCCCAGACTACCTCCACATCACCGAACCTTTCCTGTAGTGGTTTGTTTGCACGGATAAGGTCTGCGCATGTTGCGAGTGCCTAGGAAAGTAAGCATCGTGCTAAATGAAATATAGATTGAGGAAATCCAACCTTAGCCGTCACGTTTACATTGAATCTCTGGCCGAAAGCTGTGCTAAGCACCTGCTCCATAACGCCATGATTCCAGTAAGCCATCTGGTTTGCGGGGGTGTTGACTCCTCCCTTTACAAGGAAAAGCTGGATAATGACCAACAGTCCCCATATATTTTTATCACGGTGGGCGAAGGTCCATTGCAGTGTCTGGTCTTCGGACTCCTGGTCTTGATTTGCGTCGGCAAGAAGCTTCGCTAGTCGCTTGACACAACCCGTCTCACGGAAGTATGACTGATTTGAAATGTTGAGCCGTAGAAGATTGGCAAGTAAAGCCAGGCAATCTTCAACGACTTCCGACCCATGAATCAATGCGCCTTCAGCCTCTATCAGGGAGAATATAAGATCGAATGCATTCTCGAAGGCAACAAGTTTCTGGAATTCTTCCGATGCTGGCGTGAGCGCGATGAGAAGAAGCAACGCCTCTAAGGATAGAAATTTGCATTAGCACGGAGATTCGAAAACAAGTCCTCGATTCCGCAGGGAGCGTACCATTGCGCACCGGCTCTCGAGAGTCTCCTAATGCGCTGACGAGTCTCGGGATACCCAGAGGCGCAGTCAGAATACACTCCTGTGTCCTTTCCGGTCGCGCACTAGAAATCTGAAACATCAATTGCAGGGAATAGAGGCGAGAGTAGAAGTCGCGTGTATCTAGCAGATCGAGGAGCGCGGTGATATTGTCTTGTCGCTTCCGCCCAGTCAGCAATGCCCAACGGAACACGTAGCGAACACCGAACCTGGGTGAATTCATCTGACAACCAGAGAGCGATTTCGTCGGACGCTTCGGGCTAGATCAAGTCTATGTTAGCGCCTTGAGATAATCAAAGTTGTCATAGAGAAGGAGACCAACACTATTCTCGTCGGGAGTGAACAACATCAACAAGGTCTCCAGGACCACCTTAATTGTGTCCACATCTTCGCGGTCATTTCTCAAACAACTGATCAACGGTCGCAGTGCGCCCGAAGCAACAGAAGCTGGGTAAGTTTTCGAAAAGCTTCTGAGTCCTTGGATGGCGGCTCTTCGATCCTCCAACAAAGTGGCACTCTGGAGTCGACTACTGAGAGTATTGATGGTGTCCGTAGCCGTTTGTTTGGCCGGAGCCTGCGATTCGAGGATTCGGAACATCGCAATAGTTAACTCGTAATTTCATGGTCACCGCCGGCCGTGGGCGTAGAAGTGTAGAAGCATTGAGTGGCCTTGAGAGTATGAGTGTAAAAGAGGTTGATACCTTAGCGTTGGAGTCGTCGACCGGCTGAGTTGTTCTCTCCGTTATGGAGCTGCAGCTGAGACTAGTCCCGACAGCTAAGTTTAAACTAGCCTAACCCAGAGGCGGCGGCGGCGGTGCTGCATAGAGCCATAGACTAATGACCCGGAGCCAAGGGCTCGCGCTAAGCATCCGGAACCGCGACAAGAGAAGCGCCGGCTCCCCGGTTCTTTCAAAAGTCAACGGCTGACTGTCGCAGAGACTTTCAAAGACCTTTTGCCGTCGTCATCTTTCGCACTCCTTTTACCGGCCCCATTTCTTTGTCTTGCTGCTCAGGCCGCGTGAAGTGGGAATTGTCGCTTGAATACAACCTCGCGCGACCGCGACCTTGTCCCCACCTCGAATCCTCATTTACGTTCGCCGATCTAAGGCCTCGAGACAGCCGATGCAGCGCATCCGCGAAACAATTTGAACGTACATATCTTATCTGTGAACTTTTCCACCTTTTCGTTTCATAGACAACAGCAGCCATGGGTGTCCCGGCGCTTTTCAGATGGTTATCCAACAAGTACCCAAAGATCATCTCTCCTGTCATCGAGGAAACTCCCTATGAGGTCAACGGCGAAGAGGTTCCGGTTGATACCACGCGCCCCAATCCAAATGGCGATGAAATGGACAACCTGTATCTGGACATGAATGGTATCGTCCATCCCTGTACTCATCCCGAAGGAAAGCCTCCTCCGGCGAACGAACAGGAGATGATGGTCGAGATCTTCAAGTATACCGATAGGGTGGTCAACATGGTTCGGCCCAGAAAACTCCTCATGATCGCTGTCGGTAAGTAGAACGCGATCACCCTGCTTCTGCATTGGAATCCGGCCTCATGTTAACACTTATCGCAATTTAGATGGAGTTGCGCCACGAGCCAAAATGAACCAGCAACGAGCACGTCGTTTCCGTTCGGCTCAAGAAGCTAGAGAGGCGGATGAGAAGAAGGAGGAGTTCCGGAAGATGCTTGCGAAGCAGAACGGTAACAAGCAGGACGAGGATCTTTCGGAACAGGTTATCCAAAAGACTTGGGACAGCAATGTTATTACGCCCGGAACCCCTTTCATGGATATTCTTGCTGCCGCTTTGCGCTACTGGATTGCTTACAAACTCAACACCGACCCGGCTTGGGAGAAGGTATGAGCCAGGTTTCTTTGTCTTCTTAGCAGCGGATCCGCTAATTATAACAGCTCAAAATCATTATCTCGGATGCGACTGTACCAGGTGAAGGAGAACACAAGATCATGGAGTTTGTCCGGTCTCAGCGGGCGGATCCCGAGCATGATCCTAACACTCGCCACGTCATCTACGGTTTGGATGCAGACTTGATTATGCTGGGTCTTGCTACTCATGAGCCTTACTTCCGAGTTCTGCGAGAGGATGTGTTCTTCCAGGAGTCTAAGCCACGGACATGTCGCCTGTGCGGCCAGCCCGGCCATAAAGCGGAGGAATGCAGAGGCCAGGCAAAGGAGAAGAGTGGAGAGTTTGATGAGAAGCAGAAAGGATCCTCGCTCAAACCATTCATTTGGCTTAATGTTGGTATTCTACGGGAGTATCTTGCTGCTGAGCTGTATGTTCCGCAGCAGCCATTTCCCTTCGATTTGGAGCGTGCCCTGGACGATTGGGTCTTCATGTGCTTCTTCGTAGGAAATGACTTCCTTCCGCACTTACCATCATTAGACATTCGCGAAAATGGCATTGACACGTTGATCGCAATCTGGCGCGATAATATCCCCGTCATGGGCGGATATTTGACTCAAGATGGGCATGTCGACCTGAAGAGAGCTCAGCTTATTCTTCAAGGGCTGGCGAAGCAGGAAGACGCCATCTTCCGCCGTCGTAGACAAGCTGAAGAGAGAAAACTTGCGAACGAGAAGAGGCGCAAGCAGGAGGACCAGGCGCGCCGCGAAGAGCAGGCGAAAAGACAGCGAAGAGGCTCCCCTAGCTATGACACTCACGAATCACCCACTCCAAACCGATCCCGTGGCAGCGCAGACTCGGCACCTCCAAGTGGAGTGGAGCTCATCACACCTGCTCGCGGAGAACTAACGCGGGAGGCGAGGCAATTGACTCACAGCATGGTGGTCAACCGTGGAGCAGTGTATAAGGCTAATATGGCCAACAAGAGTGCCGCCGCTATACTCAAGAGCAAGATGATGCAAGGCTCGCAGGAGGGATCGGCATCGAACGAGAACGAGGAGTCCACACCCGGGGAGTCTGAAGCAGCAGACGACAAGATGGAACAGGATCAAACCTCACCTTCGGTACTCGGCAAAAGAAAGGCCGAAGCAGATGCTGCGGCGACTCCAAGCAAGGACTCCCCGAACACACCCAAGGACGATGAGATGCCACCGGACAATGTTCGTCTCTGGGAAGAGGGATATGCTGATCGATACTATGAGCAAAAGTTCGGTGTCGATCCGCAAGACAAGGAGTTCCGGCACAAGGTCGCGCGGGCGTATGCTGAAGGCTTGGCCTGGGTTCTCCTTTATTATTTCCAAGGATGTCCTTCATGGACGTGGTATTACCCGTACCACTACGCACCCTTTGCGGCTGATTTCGTGGACATTGGTGAAATGGAGTTGTCGTTTGAGAAGGGAACGCCCTTCAAACCTTTCGAGCAACTGATGGGTGTGCTGCCCGCTTCATCCAATCATGCCATCCCTGAGGTCTTTCACCCGCTGATGAGCGACCCCGAGAGTGAAATTATCGACTTCTACCCGGAAGATTTCCCGCTTGACTTGAACGGCAAGAAATTCGCTTGGCAGGGTGTTGTCTTGCTGCCGTTTATCGACGAAAAGCGTTTACTGGATGCCATGGCCAAAAAATACCCTTTGTTGTCGGATGATGAGAAAGCTAGAAACACCCCTGGTCAGGAAGTACTGATGATCGCTGACAGTCATCCTGTATACCAAGACCTCGTTGCCAATTTCTATTCGAAGAAACAGGGCGCCTCCAAGTACAAACTCAACATGCGGGCAAGTGAAGGACTGGCCGGCGAGGTTGAGCGCAACGAGACATATATCCCACACAGCTCCCTGGTGTCGTCCCTTGAGGAATATGGCATGCCGTCTCTTGAGCAGGATCGATCTCTAACGTGAGTACCATCTTCACTTCTAACCAGTATATCATTCTTGATGTTGTCAATGTACTGATCTGACGTCTTTTAGTGTCAATTACGAGATTCCCAAGTCAAAGAACATTCACAAGTCCATGCTTCTTCGAGGTGTTAAGCTCCCGCAACCGGCACTCGACAATGGGGACATCCAAGCCGTCAAATCCAGAGCTCAGCATTCGGGTCGATCATTTGGTGGTGCGCCTTTCCGCAATGGCAGAGGCGGTCGCATGAATTATGCCAGCAACCGGAACGAAGGCGACCGCCCGAACCCGTTTGCAGCACACCTTGACCCTAAATTCGCGCCCCCTGGCAATTCTAATGCGCCGATGGGCATGTCTTCCGGTTGGGCTCCTCCTGGCTCAGGACATGGAGGCTATTCTCGAGGACCGCCCCCTCCTCCCCGTGGTGGCTCTTACCACCGTGGCGGGCACTACTCGGGCCAGCAGCACCAGAACGCGCCCGGGAATAACTACGATTACTACGGACGAAGCCAGCAGGGTTACTATCAGCAAGGGTCCTATGGTAACAACTCTGGTAATCAGTACCAGGGTAGACATGGCGGCGGCGGCGGTAATGGTGGGTATGGCCGGGGAGGGTATCAAGGCCGGGACCATTACTCTTCGCGAGGCTCTGGTGGTGGATACGGTCGATATTAGTGTTTTCAAGGCCATGGTCAGATCCGCTCGGATTTGTGTCTCAGGTGCCGATCGTACCTGATCTAGTTTATGTTATGTATGACCCTTGGTGGGGGGGGGGGTTGTTTGGGTTTTTTTGTCGTTTGGTTGCGGTTTTCTCCATTTGCATGAACAGTTCCTGCTGCTGTAACTATGCGAAATAAGAACTATGATGGGAAGGAAAGAACTGGGGCACTTGGGACAGGCGTTGAAAAGGACAACATTCAGCTGATGACCTCGATCATGAATCTACTCTGTGGTTTAGAAAACAGGACAAACGAGCAATGATGTAGATCTGAGCAATTCTGGGTTTGGATTCTCTCCACTCTAGGACCCGATCGGCTTGAGCTCATCTGGTAGACGATCGTAGTTCGAAACTCATACCCACTTGCGGCAGCTGGGAAAGGCAATCAGCTTGCGTTCAGCTAGTTGTGGAGTTCGTGGGTTTGTACAGTAAGTACTGTACAACACACAGTAAATCCGCACAAGGAGCATTTGGGCCAAAGGGTGAGTTGAGTGTATATGTAGACTGTGTAGTAGACTGTGTAGTACAAGAATGCCATAGTGAGCGGAGAGCCAAGGCATTTGAGCTGCACTAGACTAGATTGACTACCGGTACGTAGTTTTAGTGGCCGGTAAGTTAGGGACGGCAGGACGACATCGGAGGCGGTCACCTTTTTCTTTTCTTTTCTCTGTGTAATAGAGGTAAGTGTATGGCACACACAGTGAGTCAGTCATTCATTTCTACCGTGCCTGGATTGGGTGGAGCTGCAGATTCCCCCTTCTCCTCATTCCTTATTCTTCTTTCCAGTTTCTTGGTAGAAGTACCCTTGCCTTCTTCTCTCCAATTCTTCCATCTTATCTTTTCCCTTCTCTTGTGTCCGCTGTCCCTTCCATCCCCTCCATCCCGCCTTCTTCAGTCTCTCTCCGCCGAGCCCCGCCGCCGAGGGGAATTTGTCCGCTTCGCCGGAGTCATTGGGCTCGAGAGGTACGTACGACTAAAGTCCTTTTTTTCCCCCTCGCTCTCTCTTTTCTTCTCTTCTATCTTCTTGCTGCTCCTTCGTCTCAATCCATTCGGCTCAAGCACCTCTTTTTCTCGTCTCTCCGATCGCATCTTACATTCTCGCCCACGAGAAAAGTCGCCATCGGTCAAGTCCGCGTCGGACCTACGCCTGACGGACATTTGCAATTCTAT